TTATTTTCTATCTCTTTGTTGGAGTTTTCCCTAAGTTTATTCATTCTTCTCCAATTTTATCGATCATCTTTGTAATCATTGCTTTCAACTATTTATCTGGTAGATTGCTTGTCTTCATTTCGTTTAGTTCATTTTGGCTTATTTTTTTGTTTGGAGCATAATCCTCTTTCTCCTTATTTTTCCTATCTCTCTGTTTGTTTCTATGTACTAGGTAGATCAGCTACATCACCAGATTTTGAGAGAGTGGCCTAATGTAGGTGTGCTGTGGGGTCTTTTGGTACAATCTCCTCTGGTCACCAAAACATCCCAAGGGTATCGCCCATGTGGGTTACATGCACCCACATAGGTTGGGCCATGACTGCTTGTGGATATTCATGGGTGGAGTTGTCGCTGGCTATGAGAACCAACTGTGACTGCAGCAGAAGATCTGGTGTGTGGGGACTGGCCCCACTGAGCAGGAGAAATTTCAGGGGGCTCCAGTTCTAGCCAAGGCTGCCTACTTGGTTTGTTGATGTAGAGCAGCTTCGGTGGGGCTCTGCTGTAAGTTGAGGGTAGCTACCAGGTGTTCAAGTGATAAACCATTTGGGAGGTCCTCTGGTGTGTGCTGAGGCCAGCCACTGGGTGTGCCTGTTCTGTAGCCTCTTGGTAGGTGCTTTGGTGTGGGCTGAGGCTAGCCAATGGTGCAGGAATTAAAGCTGCTTAGGAGGCTTTGGTGTGTGCCATGACATTGACATGTGTGACAGGCTTGGGTGTACCTATGGGAGCAGAAATGTTGCAGTGGTGTACTACTTAACATGCTCCTGGGTTGACGTTATGGCTGGAACCTATATGTGTCTTTAGAGTGAAGCTGTGAATGGGGCTGGGATTGTCCCAACAGTAGGGGCAACCTATGAATGAGGTACCCATCAGATGGTCCCTACTGAAAGAGCAGTTATTTCAGAGAAAGAGAAGAGATAGGGAAGATCAGCTAATAGATGGTGGGCTGAGTCCACTCTCCTAATTCCAGAGGGCTCACCAGGATGTTTAAGTACCTCTGCATCTGCTGGCCCTGCCTCTACTGCAGCACAGATCCTGACCCTCTGGGTTATTGGAGACAACACCCACAGCCTCACTTGTGGTACAGCAGAGGAATTAATTAGTTTACCCTGGACTCATGCCTAGGGTCTTAAATCCTATATAGTAACCATTTTCAGGTTAGATACCTTTAACCTTAATAACATTGATTTTCGGCCCTCTGAAAGAAAAATTTCCATGAATATCTGGGTAGAAAGGATACCCTGTTTCCCACCCCAAAGTATTTTCATTGAACTAAAATACAAAACTGGGAAGGACTTGAGAGAGGGAACAAGAGGAAAAAGGTATTGAAAAAGGGTTCACAATTTGACCCAATTGGAAATTCAAAATATGCTGAAAGAATTGATATAACAAAAAAGTATAAAAGGCACTCCTTGGATTTTGTGCCTTTAAAACTTGATTTTGAGTTAATGTTATCATTTCTTATAATAGTAATTCACAAACCTTCATGCAGTTACTCAATGCTAGGTTATGTTAGTTATGCCTGGGATCTCATTGAAGCAATGCACCCCATGATCTTAGGGGAATTACTGACTATATTATAGAGGACAAATTGGTGCACTTCACCTTAATCATCAGAACAACTGGTTTTGCCTAATGGTCATAACACTCTTAGGCCAAAATACTCCATAATGAGCAGGAAAGCTCTGAACCAATAGTTCATAAGTTAAAATTAAATGAAAATAACTCTTTACCACTTCCAAATTGGTTTTACAAAGTGGGACTTCATGGTCCTTACCCCTTAGAAAAATTAGTGAATATAGCCTAGTATAAATTTAACAGGGACTTCAAGGAATAAAAACTGTTCTGAGAAACCTTTTAGGAAGAAGTGATCATCCCCAAAGCTTTTCCTTTGAATAGCTGAATCTCACCTGTTCTTAAATCTAGAAAGAATGAATGACACCTCACAGTGGATTACCACAACCTTGAGACTGTGGTCACACCAAAAAAAATTCCTATACCTCATACCCAATATATGAAATGACTGATTTTATCCACTCAGCACCTGGTAAACATTCTGCTGTCACAGATTTCGTTAAGTCTGTTCTGCTCGGTACCTATTTTAACAGCCTCTTAGCTGCTGTTGGACTTCACCTCTGAAGGGACATGATACACCTTTACCTGATTACTCTCAGAAAACCTCAGTACAATTACCACTGTGCACAGCCTCTGCAGGCAGGATCTGAATTGCATTTACCTTCCTCCAGGAGAACAGGTATGACATGACATTCATGACATTCTCCTTTGTGAATGTTCATTTAACATATCTCAGAAAAGGTGTTCACAAAAAGGGAATGGTCCATTGCCTGAAACATGAGGCCTTGATGCCTTGGTTACTTTTTTAAAAAATATGTCAATTAATACAATGCCACGACCTTTCTGACAACATGAAAAAGAGCTGTAGTCCTTCTCAGCACCCACAACATTTTGTAGATTCTTTGGGAGACATTGTATTTCTTGTTTACAGATTTTACTTGAACTTGTTTATGCTGTTACTTGTGTACTGCCCCACCTTGAATGGGCACCCCTGCCATCGAAGGCTGTAGACAACTTAAATTGCCATGCAACAGGCACAGCTGGTTGTGTCCTCAGAGACCTCCTCACTATAAGGTTTTAACCACCACCTCTCAGACCTCCTGAAGTTACCCATGATGAACTTCTATTGTAATTTCTGTTTTTCTCTTTTTTCAGTTGTTAACTAGATGTTTATCAATTTCATTAATCTTGTCAAAGAACCAGCTTTTTTGTTTTGATTTTCTTTATAGGGTTTCCTTGATTCCTTTTCTAATTATTTCCTTTATTTTGCTTACTATGGGTTTAATTAACACTTTATTTTTTTAACTTGGATGTTTGTATCAATTAGTATAGTTTTTTTTAGTGTATTTGATGGTACACATTTTAATTTTTATTTTTTGAAAGATAATTTTGCTTGACACAGAATTATAGTAGAGTGGTGTTTTTCTTTTAAAACTTTATTATACTCTGCTCTTTTCGTGCATGATATCTGATCGGAACTCTAATTGTAATCTTTGTTTCTTTGTAACCGATTTGTTTTCCTTTCTGTTTTTTTTTTTTTTTTCCCCAATATATTATTTTGGTCTTTGACTTTTGTCTACTTAAATATGAGAGAATTAGTTGTGCATTTTTGTTGTTTTTCATTATTAGTGTGCTCTGAGCGTCCTGGATTGACAGTGTGTCATTCATCATTATTTTTAGGAAAATCTTAGTGATTGTTACTTCACTGATTTCTTCTCTTCCTTTTCTGTCTTTCTTTCCCTTCATGTAGTCCCATGATATGGATTTAAGTTTTCTGTTTAAAGAAAGTACCTAAATTTCATGGATATTGTATTCTGACTTTTTTTGGTCTTTTTTTTTTGTCTTTGCATTACACTTTAGTGAGATATCTTTTTAGTACAGGTCATGTTAAGAACATAATATTTGGGGCATATTTTATAATGTTGTGTTTATTTTCTCTTTTCCACTTTCGGGGACACTGAGTTGTCCTGATCTAAATGATCTAATGGATCTAAAAAGAGTTCAAGTCTTTTTGCCTTTTTATTGTAATGTCAGAAAAAAACAGCTCCCAAGTTAGGTAAATGCCAGACCAGACACTGCAAGTCTCTTGACTCCTTGTTTTCGTTATTGACTGTGACAGCGATAAGCCTCACCCCCCTTCTTTCCCCTGTGCCCTTCTGAACCGGGTGGTAAGAAGCGTTTGGGCTTTCTTCTTGGGAGTAGCAGGTGGCTGAATCTACACAAGTTCCTGCTCTTGTGTGTGAACTCTCATCTGAGCCCACCCCCTAACCTCATAAAATGAATCCATGCACCTTTTCTTGTTCTCTGAAAGTATTTTATCCTTTTCTGAGAGGCCTGCCTTACTATCCCAAGACCTAACTTATGGTTGTAATAAACCCTTTCATACTCTGTTGATAGTGTGTGGTGTCACCAGCTGAGGGATTCCCATGCTTAGCGGTTGAGCTACCATGGTCCTTGTCTCCACAGGGGAGCTTGGAAATGACAGAAGCGAGGGCACTGTCTAGCTATATAAATAATACCCTTGTGTTTGTTACAGTTGTCTGTAGTATTCTATACAAGTTTGTAGTTTAGGAGCAGTCTGCTAAACTATATGGCCTAGGTATTTGGTAGTCTATGCCATTTAGTTTTGTGAAAGTACACTCTACATGTTCCCACAATGATAGAGTTGCCCAAACTGTGCATGTCTCAGAATGTATCCCCATAGATGAGTGGCACCAGACTGTCACTTTCTAGATAATCATTTTGGACAGAGAGAGAAAGGAAGAATTGAGTCTGATTAATATAACACAAGGAAAAAAGCAATGCTGGTCTGTATGAATATTACTCAGCCAGCTTCATCTGATGACTTTTGATGATCTAGAGAACTTTAAGGTGCTATGGTTACCTGGACCTTGTTAAAACTGACATTGTCGTAGGCCTTCTGAACTTATGTTTGGTGATGGCAACAGAACAAAAAGCTTTTAATATTCAGTATCTGTTTATTCACTGAAACCTATGCAGATTTAACCTTCTTCCTCATGGAGTGCTATAAGTGGTAAGTAGTAAGGAAAAAAGATTAAGTTATTTTCACCAGGAATTGATCATCTTAAAATGATAATATAGTATTTGTTTAATTTCTGGAGCATTTCTTTCTATTCCCAACATGCTGTTAACCCTTCCATTATAATGTGATCATGGTAAAAATGTATAAATAATTTCCATGTAAATAATGATGGTACTAAATTTAGTAAGAAGTGATTGTGGACAGGATGTAAGTTTCTGATGATCAAGTCATAGTGTAAATGTTTGGAGATGACAGAATTGTACATAACTTTCCCATAAATGGAGTCTGTGTGTCCAGTTCAGTCTGTCTCATAAATTTTACTGTATACATATTTGTGGTGTTTTAGGACTCAGTGACATTTGAGGATGTGGCTGTGAACTTTAGCCTAGAGGAGTGGGCTTTGCTGGATTCTTTACAGAAGAAACTCTACAGAGATGTGATGCGGGAAACCTTCAGGAACCTGACCTCCATAGGTAAGGATGACAAGTTCCCTTCACTTCCTCATCTGAAGGACAAGTGTTTCTTACCCTTCAACATTATGCTAACACGTAATGTAGGAATGAGGACATTGGTAAATAAACTAGCATAGTCACAGCTCATTATAGAACTAGAATCTAATAATTTTTCTACATTTTCTAATACTTTGGAATCCTATTTCTTGGTCTGCATTTTAGGGGAAAAATGGGAAGATCATGACATTGAAGATCAGTACAAAAGCCAGGGGAGACAATGTGGGTGAGTAACACTCATAATATACAATAGTGTCTCAGGTGAGAAACCTACTATTATGCTATAAAAATTTTAAAAGAACCCAAACTACCCCTCCTTTAAAGTAATTACTTCTCATAAATTTTCACCAAATTACTTTTGTATATATGACATAGATGTCCAGTGTTTGCAAAATAGTTTATGTGGAAGCACCATTAATGAAGCCAAATATGAAGGCTACTGTTTTGATAATAGCAAGTTGTCTTGCAGAGATTTTAGTGTATTCAGTGTCCAACAATTTGGACAAGACAGTAAACCTGTAATTTGCAGTAAATCATAAAAGTATAGTTCAAATATTCTACTAATAAATATAAAATTATTAACAAAGAAATCAGTAATGTGCTGCTTGTTTTTTACAGAAGTCAAATGGTAGAGAGAATCTGCGAAAGGAAAGAGGGTAGTCAATGTGGAGAAAACTTCAACCTTATTCCAAGTCTCAGCCTGAAGAAAACTCTTCCCGGAGTAAAACCATGGGAATACAGTGTATGTGGGGATGTCTTCATACATCATTCATCCCATAATAGGGACATCAGCTGTCACACTGGACACAAGCCCTCTGAGTATCAGAAATATGGAGAGAAACCTTATAAATGTAGTGTATGTGGCAGAGCCTTCACTTATATTCAATTTTTTGAAAAGCATGGAAGAAATCACAATGGAGAGGAACTATATAAATGCGAAGAATGTGGAAAAGCCTTCATGTGGCTCAAAAGCCCTCAAAGAGACATGATCACATATACTGCAGATGCTCCTTTTAAATCTAAGGTGTATGCAAAAAACTTTAGTTCTTCAGCTTCTCTTCAAACATGTGAGAGAACCCACACTCTGGGGAAACCCTATCAATGTAAACTCTGTGGAAAAGCCTTTCGATATTATAAAAGTTTTCAAAGACATGAAAGGAATCACCCTGGAGAGAAACCCTATGAATGTAAAAAGTGTAGTAAAGCATTCAGGTACCCCAGTCATCTTCAAATACACGAAAGAACTCACACTGAAGAGAAGCCCTATGAATGTAAGGAGTGTGGAAAGACCTTCAGATCTTACAGTTCCTTACAACCACACGAAATGACTCACACAGGAGAGAAACCCTATGAATGTAAGGAATGTGGGAAAGCATTCAGATATTACAGTTCCTTACAAATACATGAAAGATCTCACACTGGAGAGAAACCCTATGAGTGTAAAAAATGTAGCAAAGCATTCAGTGCTCCCAGTTGTCTTAGAAAACATGAAAGAATTCACAGTGCAGAGAAACCCTACAAATGTAAGGAATGTGGGAAAGCCTTCAGATTTTACAGTTCCTTACAAACGCATGAAAGGACTCACACAGGAGAGAAACCCTATGAATGTAAGCAATGTGGAAAGGCCTTGAGATACTACAGTTCCTTACAAATACATGAAAGGATACATACAGGAGAGAAGCCCTATGAATGTAAGGAATGTGGAAATGCATTCAGATGTAACAGTTTCTTAAAAATACACAAAAAATCTCACACTGGAGAGAAACCCTATGAATGTGAAAAGTGTAGTAAAGTATTCAGTACTCCTAGTAATCTTCGAATACATGAAAGAACTCATACTGCAGAGAAACCCTATAAATGTACAGAGTGTGGGAAAGCCTTCAGATATTATCGTTCCTTACAAACACACGAGAGGACTCACACCGGAGAGAAGCCCTATGAATGTAAACATTGTGGGAAAGCCTTCATCTGTCGCACCACCATTCAAAGACACATGAAAGTGCACACTGGAAATACACCTTATCAATGTAAGGAATGTGGAAAAGCTTTCACTTGCCTTAGTTTGTATCAAAGACACGAAAGAACTCACACTGGAGAGAAACCCTATGAATGTAAACAGTGTGGAAAAGCCTACAGAGATCACAGTTCTTTACAAAGACATGAAAGGACTCACACTGGAGAGAAACCCTATGAATGTAAGGAATGTGGGAAAGCCTTCATTTGTAACAAAATTTTTCGAATACACATGATGAGAGTGCACACTGCAGAAAAACCGTATAAATGTGAAGAATGTGGGAAAGCCTTTAGTCATCCTTATTCCTTTCGAAGGCATGAAAGAACTCACTGGATAAAACCTCTTGAATGTAAATAGTGTGGGAAAGACTTCAGTTGGCCCACATCTTTACAACTCCCCTGGAAAAGAAATACAAATGTAAATAACATGAAAGGGATTGATATAAATCAAGTTAGTTATAATGTTCTAGAAAACTTTCAAGATTAAGGAGTTGTCATTAAAGTAGTAAACGCATTATGTTTACTAGTTTTTTGTTGTTTTTTTTTAGTACATAATTGGGATTTCTGCTACAGTAGATCCTTTGGAAATTCAGGAGTTAGGGGAACCCATTTTCCACACAGTTGAAAATTTGTGTGAAACTTAAGCCAGCCCTTTGCATAAATGAATACCAAGCCAAGAACTGAAAATACAGTCGACCCTTGAACAGCCCACATTTGAAACTGCTCAGGTCCACATTTTAAATTCTGCAGAAAAGTGGACCTGTGCATTTCAAACTCATGTTTAAGCATCAGTTATTTTTAGAAATAAATATTGAGGTGAAATAATTCTATAATTTGTCTTTCAATAAGTACATAACATTAATAGGTGGTACATTTTTATCATCAGTTAATAATATTCTCTCTACATTTTGAATCCTGTTAGATCCATGGCTGAATTCATGTTTATTTCTAATGTGCAATTAGGTTTAATTTTTATCATGTTTTATTTTTTTCATGTTAAGGGGCCATTGAAAAAATGACACTTTGGTATTTGTTGGGATTTCCCTATTGGTTTTATGACAGTTCCTGGATAGTTCCGTTATATATATTCACTTTCTTACTGAAAAAACTCCTTTTGTAGGATATTGGGTATTAGATACTTTTTCCATTTTTGATTCTAATAAACACTTGGAATGACTTTTTAAGTATTTCAAGTTTATGAAAGATTTTAGTTTAATGTGATTATTATTTTTATATTTCAGTCTTAGCTCTTATTTTATTTCTGACTTGTATATGGTAAATAGATTTTTATTTAAGATGAGAGACCTGTAATAGAAAAAAAAAAAATAGAGTTGGAAATATCAACCCTGTGGGTAGTTTTAGGAACTAGATCTTTTGGAATCTATACCCTTTGTGGTTCCATGTTAGACATTATGAGCAGCTCCATAGTGTGAGATTTGGAAGGCAGACGTGAAGAAGGCATTACACTGTAGAGCCACTGTACAGGCAAAGAGAGGTACATAGGTACCATCTTCCACCTCATTTTAAAAATTCTTTGCCCTTCCAGTCAAGAATATCCTCAAAACCAACGTCAACTGTTTAATTTCCATTTTTTAGGTGTAGGTTTTCACTGATGTCTTTACAAATTGCACATCAAAGATCCATCAGAGTTTGGATTTATCTTGTGTCCACCAGGAACCTGATTCAGACTTTCATGCTCGTGTCTGATTTTCCTTCTTTAGATTACATCTACATATGGTCTAAATTGTATAGGAAACACCTTATGCTGTTAATAGTGCTAGTATGTGTTCTTGATTGACCATGACATCTGCAATGCTGCCATCTGGGAGTTAGTTTCTCTGCTGCATGTGCAGTGGCTGCCTTGACCCAGTTCTTCCATGTGAGAATAAGCACCTTCCACCTGGATACGTTTTTATTGATTTTAGAGAGAGAGAAAGGGGGAGAGAGAGAGAGAGAGGGAAACATTAATCGGTTGCCTCCTGAATGTGCCCCAACCAGGGATCGAACCTGCAGCCTTTTGGTGTAGGGGATGACGCTATAACTGAACCACCTGGTCAGGGCCTCAGCATATTTTATATTATGTTTGATTGCATGTGATTAAAACCATGCATATATATATATTTTTTTATTCTCACTCAAGGACATTTTTCCATTTTTTGTTCAGTTAGAGTGGGAGGGAGGGAGGGAGAGAGAGAGAGAGAGAGAGAGAGAGAGAGGGAGAGAAACATCGACGTGAAAGGGACACATCGAGTGGCTGCCTCCCGCAGGGCCCAACCAGGGCCGGGGACAAACTGCAACTGAGGTACATGCCCTTAGCGGGAACCAAACCCGGGTCTCTCAGGACCGCAGGCTGATGCTCTAACCGCTGAGCCAAACCGGCCAGGGCCCATGCATATTTTTTCAAACTAACACTTACGTAGTTGCTTCATAGAAATATTTTATTAACTATTTTTAAGACATAAAATGCTAACATTTTGTTTTCCATTTCCTGAGGGGAAATATTAAAATGTCTCATTATAATTATGAATTTTCAGATACACTTTGCAATTTTTTTTTTTTAATCCTCATCCGAGGACATTTTTCCATTTTTTGTACAGACAGAGTGGGAGGGAGAGAGAGGAAGAGAGAGAGAGGGAAACATCGATGTGAAAGGGACACATCGAATGGCTGCCACCCGCACAACCAATTCCCTTTCCCTCTTCTGGTGACTGAAATACACTGAAATGTATAGCAGCATACACAATTCCCTTGCAGTCCATATCTCTTGCATAAGTGCAAAGATGCGTGAGTGGTGTGACTTACGATTGAAGTGCCACCTGTTGTGCTTTCCAGTGTATCAACAGTTGCTACATTTTCCTCCTTGTCTTCAACTTTCATGGCAGTAAACAGACGTACTTCCTTGATGTTATTGGAGTCTGTGAGAAACATGATGACTTGTTGGATGCCCGTGCCCCAGCCAGCTGTGGGGGCTGCCCGTAGTCCAGGACCGTGCAGAAGTCCTCGTCTATGAATGTAGCCTCATCATTGCCCGCCCTGGTCTTGGTCTGTTTTCCAAAAGCTGCTGCTTTTGTACATACAAGTTTAGGATGCCTCCTAAGGTCATTCAACTCAGTGTAGGCATTGCCTATTTCCTTCCTTCTTCCGGACAAAAAGCTCAAAGTGCTTAGTCAGACCCTCTCTAGAGGGATGCCATTTTGCCAAAAGGCTCATCTGTGGGTGATCATAGATGAATGTAGGATTGATGCATGTCACTCAGAAACTCCCCAACAAGCATATCCATTCTGGCTGTGGTCCGAGAGGAAGGCATTCAACAGCTGTGCCACAGAGATATAATCAAGAATTGTGTGAGTTTCAGAGATTAGTTTCTGGCAGCTTCACCTCAGGGCTTCCTCAAGCTCTTCTACCATGCTGATTCTCAGGAAGGAGAGAGTACTCTTTTTTGTTGTTAATCCTCACCTGAGGATATTTTTCCATTGATTTTCAGAGAGAGAGTGAAAGGGAGGGGGGAGGGAGGGAGAAACACATCAATGTGAGAGACACATTAATTGGTTGCCTCCGGCATGACCCCTACCAGGGCTGGGGATCAAACCTGCAACCCAGGTACATGCCCTTGACTGGGAACAGGACACATGACCCTTTGGTCTGTGGGCTGATGCTCTAACCACAGAGCCACACCAGCCAGGGCTCTTGATGCTAATGTTTAAACATTTCGCTTTGCCATGCACTTTATTTTTTCAGACTTTGGAAATATTTTAATGATTCAAAAGCAACCTTTTAAAATTACATTATATATATATTTTTTTAATTAATGTATTTTTGTTACATATATTTCTCCTTTTACTGCCATTGACACCTTCCTCCCATTCCTGCCCCCCCCCCCCCCCCCCCCCCCCCCGCCGCAGCATTGTTGTTTATGTCCATTGGTTATGCTTGCATAAATTCTTTGGTTTATCTCTTCCCTCTCCCCCCCCCCCCACCTTTGAGGTTTGTCAGTCTGAACCCTACTTCCATGTCCTTGGGTCTATTTTGTTCATCAGCTTATTTTATTCATGATATTCCACAAATAAGTGAGATCATGTGATACTTGTCTTTCTCTGACTGGCTTATTTCGCTTAGCATAATACTCTCCAGTTCCCTCCATGTCGTCTCAAAGGATAAGAGATCTTTCTTACAGCTGCATAGAATTCCATCGTGTATATGTACCACAGCTTTTCTAACCACTCACCTATTGATGGACACTTGGGCTGTTTCCAGATCTTAGCAATTATAAATAGTGCTGCTATGAACATAGGGGTACATATATTCTTTCTGATTGGTGTTTCAGACTTCTTAGGAATATTCCGAGAAGTGGGATCACTGGGTCAAATGGCAGTTGAATTTTTAAGTTTTTGAGGAAACACCATACTTTTTTTCATAGTGGCTGCACCAGTCTGCACTACACCAGCAGTGTACTGGAGTCTCCTTTTCTCCACACCCTCGCCAGCACTTGTTTGATGATTTGTTCGTGGCAGCCATTCTGCCATGCACTTTAGAGTCATTGTACTCAATTTAGCAGAAATAAGACACTGTAGGATTTGGATATAGAAGCATAAAACCAGCTCTTGCAGTCCTGGTGCTTATATATTTTGGGAAAAGAGAGATGGATAACAAATGGTAAAGGATGTGTTTCCCTAAATGGAGAGACTCTATGGTTTAATGGGATATACACTGTGTTGCTCAGTGTTTACAGCAGCAAAATGTTAATGTCAAATATGTAACATTTAAAAATTTAAAGGTAAGAGAAAATCCTCTCAAAAAATGTTAAAACATAAAAAAACCTCATCGAAATCTGTGGCTCAAATCATTAGTAACTTTTAAGTCCCAGATAGCAATGTCTAATATAAGTACATATTCTATAAATGTTTAACAGTTTCAAAAATGAAGACAAATGATGTCTAGATCTTTGTATTTATGGGGAATCTTTTATGTTAATCACCAGAATGCAGGACTTTCTATATTGCTGCACTCTATTTACTTCCACACCCAAACAGTTCCTAAAGTGGTTTTTAAGATGCATTACATGCTAGAAATGAACATTAATGTTCAAGTGAACATTAATGACTTCATCACTTACTGAGGCTCCTACCTTCATAGCAGGTATATTATACACCCTAGCCTCAATATTATTATTTTTACATTCCGTCACAGCTTTTATTTTTATCTTATAAATCAAAGTTTTACTATTTGTTGCAAAGTGTCCTGTATGGGAGCTGTTGAGCACCAAATAGAGGGGCTGGCCAAACTGCAGGAATGCTTGAGGTGCCTTCTTTTGGGTGACTAGGGCAGGGCTAATACATGAGCCAGAGAGGCCCCTAACTCAGGAAATAACCTGTATTGAGCCCAGTAACACAACCAGGAATTACAGTAGTCCCCAAAATGAGCTCTGATTTCTGCCCTATAAAAATATTAAGACTATTGGAGGGCTTGAACAGGAAGATGTGCAGCACTGAGTGGTAACCGTGGGGAAAGTCCCCTTGAAATTGTGTAGGGAGGTGACCCTGAAGCTGTGGTCTTGGGTAGTGTGGGCAAGGATGCTATAGTGCTGGCAGTAAGAAGCCAGGGAGAGATTATTCAAATAGAAATGAAATTCACTTGCTCCCAGGAGGATGCATCCTATGAACCAGTCTAATGGGCTTGGTGAAAACCAGCAACATTGTTTCAAGGGCCCATAAGGTTGTGA